CCTCAGATTCAGGAAAAACTAGAAACCAGGACTCAAAGATGTTGGAGTAACGATTTAGAGCCGAAACAAGTACGTCTATTAAGCCTTAGTACGTTTTCGTCTATCTGGAAAGTACTTAGCGGACTGGAAGTGTGATGAGTAATATGAGATTATCTAGATGATAGAACAAGTGGAAAATTCGGATGATGAATCAGTGAGCACATAGAATCCAATTACATCTCATATAGTAAACTAGTGACAACAATCAAAAACAGTACAATCATGAGTGTAGAAAAACTGACAATCAGGAGTAGCGTACAATTTCGAATGAGACCAACCACAGCGTTCAAAATCTGCTCTTCGAGGATCTAATATCCAATACCTTTTTTGTCGAGCTAGTATAAACTTATTGTTTACTTTTAGCCAGATCCCTGTTCTTTCTTTCCGAGTCCAGGTGTTTGTTAGTGTCTAGCAGATGGTGGTCTAGCCACTAGGCTGAACTAATTCTAGTCAGTTGGCAGATGTTTTTGTGTATGGTACGTGAATTGAAAGAATACATTTGTTTCAGAGAAGTAGAACTTCTGGATTCTAGCAGCTAACACATTACAAGGCCGAAGATCAGTTAGACGCAATATGTAGAATAATAAGGAGAAAACTAATGCTTATAAGATTATGTCAGAACTAAGTAATATATAGATAATTTAGTTTGTTAATTTGTAGTCAAGATTGTGTGACTCCAGTGAATGCCTGAACAGCTAACATATCGGTAAACAGAGGGCTTCTGCACACTGTTTCAAGATTGTGGGGCAAATATTGTCAAGACCTGTTTATTTTTTGTGGATTTTAGTTTCCTTAGTACTGATTCAGTAATAATACGGGTCTTCCGTAAGCTGACACTGGGTTCACGTAGTACCCTGAAAAAATATATACCTAATTTAACTGATCCGTGAAGTTTGTATTGAAGATCTCAACCATCCCTACGTTGGTGAGGTCTTAACCATTCGGACCACTGGGAAAACACTAGCACTAATTCGTAAGTTTTCTTTTTGACCTGAATGTAAACAGATACTTAGTGTTTACCCATACACAGACAGCTAGCTTCAATTGAAAGCGTCTCCTATCACTTCAAACTTTATTATTTGATCTGTTTCTCAATGCTAAGTAAGAACTGTGATCAGAGTCCTTCAAGGAGACCTTCCACTTGTGCCAGACTCTCCTCTTTACCTGTAGCGAGCGTTCTGTGCCGCACCTAACCCATTTTCTTCAATTTCCGGATGAATGGTGTGCCTGCGGTACATTGTCTTGGACAAAATTCTTTATGATGTCTCTCTCTGATCGCCAGTGATCATCTACTGTCAGCCTCCATTAATCCCGTGGCAATAGGGCATGTATTAGGATCTCTATCATACTCTTATAATTTGCTCCAGTGTGACGAAGCTAGGTCTAGTTTTCTTCCTGTGTGTTTCGTTTATGACCTGTTAAGATGTCTTCGAAAAGTAACAGAGTCAGTCGAAGTTCGATAAAACGAGGGGCTGTGCTTTCCTTGTCAGTATCAGTAATGTAGGTCTCTTAGTTGATCTAACTCTCTGTTAAGTATGCGATTCGGGGAATGATTTTGGCTTTGGTTCATAGCAGCTTTTCGGACAACTTGCTATTGCTTTTAAGAAATGAGCTGGCTACTTTTATGTAATACTCATTTTTAGAATGAACGAATACTGTTTAAATAGTCTAAAATGTTCTAGCATTGACTTGATCATAGGCGTTTTCCATCAATCACAAAGTTATAAAACCATTTGCGTCTACTGAACTCAATGTGTATCAGTTTTCAAATCTTGTCTAGTGATAACTCCTAAATCATTGAGCGACTGAAAAACAGGTTGTAGATGGATTTTCTACCGTAGCAGTTCAATTCGATTCCAATAGACGTATGTCGAACGCACCCTCCCTTAGTCGAATATCAAAACACAATAATTCTAGGAGAAAGTGGTCTATTTATATAAAAGAAATGGAAATACAAACATTTACCTGACAATTATTACGCCTTCCAAGTCGAAATTACTCTGATGAGTATCCGAGTTCAAAAGATTAGGTGAAGCTAGTATACTGCGACGATATCAAATCCAAATATGGCTGTAGCCATATTATATATCAAATTTAAACGACATATGTACAGTTCAGAAGCAAACATAAAACTTCAATATAAGTACAAAATATAGAAATAATAACAATATACAATGATAAGATCTCAAAATGGAATCAAATATAATACTAAAATGCCAACAGAAAGAGTCAGTCATATCATAGCAAAAATATATAAACATGGAGGGATTTTTCAAAAAACA